GCATTCAGCCGGTCACATAGGAAAGCATTATCAATGCTTTCCTATGGACGCTGGCGTGCTCTCACTGTGAAAAATCACAGTGAGAAGCACGCAAGCGCCTCTAGTGGCTGTCAATGAGACAGCTACTAGAGGATTAGGGGGAAGGCTTAACCCATTCATAATTATAGCAGTTTCTCTGAAACTGCTATAATTATGAAAAAATGGGTTAACCCTAGAAGGACCTGGCACCCAGACCACTTCATTAAGCTGAAGTGGTCTGGGTGCCTAGAGTGGTCCTTTAAGAGTTTATAAGTATGTAGGGGCAGCACCCCTTCCTGTCTCATCAGAGAAATTTGCCTTTTAGCTGATACCAGCAAGGTGATTTGTATATGTTATGGCCCTATTCAGGGTTAAGTATGTAGGGGTTTATAACACACCCATTCATGTCGCATTAGAGATGTTTACACTTTGTCTGATACCAGCAAAGTTTATTGTATGTGTAGAAGCCCTATAAAGGGTTAAATGTGAAAGGGTTCATAAAATACCCCTTCCTGTCTCATTAGAGATGTTTACACTTTGTCTGATACCAGCAAAGTTTATTGTATGTGTAGAAGCCCTATAAAGGGTTAAATGTGAAAAGGTTTATAAAATACCCCTTCCTGTCTTACTGGAGATTCTTGGCTGATATCAGCATATCTAATGGCTAGTGTAGGACTCACCTATTGAGGCTTGCCTTGAAGTGGCAGGTGAGCTTATATATTCAAATGGCCATTGGAATAAAACTAAAGAGCCTCCATTTTGTGTAAATGTACATGGGGATTTAGGCCAGAGCGCAGGTAACGTTCTCTTTGTTTTTGATAAATATTTATGTTATATCTCAATGAAAAGATTTAACTATTATGATTTTTTTGTATGTCAAAAATGCAACACTGTACAGGAAAAGAACAAATTAATATCTGAGCTGCACAATAGTAAACTATTTGGCCAATGGCAAAGGGCATCGGGTGGGGGACTTTAAATAAGAAATGGGAGGTGGACGGATTACTGTCCATCCTTTCGTCCTCACCTGTGCCTAGGGCCGGTGCAAGGACTTTGGGTAAACAGGTGAAGATGCATTTTGGCGCTCTCCCACCCACCCAAAAAAGCATCTTCACCTGTGGGACTCATAACTCCCCTTTTGTGTTTCTCTCCTCCTCTCCTCTTTTATATGCCTTACCCCGTTTAGTGTATATTAGCCCTATTTTTCCCCATTGTGTGCCTTACACCTCCCTTGTGTATCTCTTACAACCCCACTTTGTGTGTCTTACTCCCTACAGCCACTTTGTGTTTTTCCTTCTCTCTCAGCCCCTTTGTGTCTTTTACTCTTCCCAGCTGCTTTGTATGTTTTTCTTTCACCACCATCCCATCAGTCTCCATCCCAGGCCCACTGTGTGTCTCTTTTTCCACTTCTCTAGCCCTTCTGTGTGTCTCTTTCCCATCCAGCCCCTCTGTATGTCTCCCCCCAAACACCTTTGTGTTTTCAGAGAAAATGCAGTGTTTACATTACAACCTAGTGATAACTTCACTGGCCACTCCTTATATGGCTGTTAGAGAGCCTAAAATGCATCCAAACATTCATTGTCTCCTCCCTCTGTATTTAGACACTGAACTTTCCTCATAGAAATTCATTGATTCAATTAATCTCTATGAGGAGATGCTGGTTGGCCAGGGCTGTGTTTGAATTGTGCTGGCTCTGCCCCTGATCTGCCTCCTTGTCAGTCTCAGCCAATCCTATGGGGAAGCACTGTGATTGGATCAGGCTACCAATTCTGATGATGTCAGCAGACTGCTTGTTTTTTATTTAGGCAAACAGCATGCAGATCTACAGCTTTTGGCAATAATACAGTAAGATTTTGCTATATTTGTGGAGGCATAAGGGGCTCAGGGGGGCTAGATGGTGGTTTTAACACTATAGGGTCAGAAATACATGTTTGTGTTCCTGACCCTATAGTGATCTTTTAAGGCCAATATAGCCAAATGGAACAGAGAATACAATTGGAGAATGACTTAACTTAGATTACTAAAGTAAGAATTCAAAGTGAATTTCAATTAAAAACAAGCATCAACAATGAGTGCATCGGGTTGTGAATTTCAAATTTCATGGTCAAAATAGTTGAACCGGAAAATTTTTACTAAGACCTTGATTTAATTTTTGGGGGTAAGCTTTTCAGAGGATTTAATCATTTTGGGCACATTTTTAAAATGATTTATATTTTTAAAACATTTTAATATTTTGATATTTAATAAATATTTTTAGATCAGATTATTTTGTTAATAAATTGAAGAAAAAAATGTTATCCCGAAATATTACATTATTTAAAAAAAGGCCTGTGTTATATCAAATATGTGCAAAATGATATTCAATTTATTGATACCTTTCCCTACCACATATCTTGTTGGATCAGGCCTTAGTGCTGTTAATCATTTTATCACCAGAGAAATCATCTGAATATCACCTAAAGAGATGACCTTTGTTTATTACTTACAAAAATCGAACCAGATATCAAATATTTTGTTTCACAGCTTCAAGGATCTCATTAATCATCACTTAAAGGTAATTTCAATAAACTTAATTTTGAGTAAATATTTTTTAAGAAACCCTCTTTTCTAAAAAACAATCTTGGCACTTGCGCAAAAACATTTGAGTTACTGTGGCACCGGTGAGCATTAAGGAAATGTTTCCATTAACAAAGATACATTAGTGAGTGATAGGCATTAAAAAGTTGACTACCCCTGCTCTAAAAGGTGACTATGGGGGCAAGGCTGAAGTGTGACACAAATGCCAAAAAAATAAAAAAAATAAACTTGTATAAACATAAACTGTAATGCTATTTACCAAATAATAACACAGCATGTCCCACTTGGAACATTCCTCTTGTATAAACAAGACCCATATTCTTGGCATCAATTTCATTTTAAGATTTTCTGTTAAGATATATTTCATTACAGTTTTGCACAGGTAATTAGTCAAAGTTGCCATGGTGATCCAGTGCAGAAAATATTCGTGTCTTTCTACCTGTATTTTGTTTAATCACTGGAACATTTGATACAGTGTCTCTCTAACGAATTTTGTGTGTCATTGAATGCACTTGCCCCAATAATTTCTTTATTGCTGTTGCAGAGCTTCTCCCTATATTAGTCACTGGGAGCAGAAACTGACATGAATTAGTCATTTGTCTGATGTGGCAGCTTTGATAATTTATAATTTTTCTTCCAGCATTTAGTCTGGTTTTAAACCACTAAACTACCTTAAACACCAGTAAAGTTTTGTGGTTATCTCACCATAATTACACTTATTGGACACATTATAAGGTACACCTTGTTAATGTGGTTAACTAATAAATCATGTTGATGTAACACAATATTTAAAGGGACACTCCATGCTGGACATTACTCTATTTTTAATGTGTTCTTTAGGTAATGAATTTAAAAATATGCAAAATAATAATAAAATGAACAAAATCATACTTACTATTACAATTTGTAAAATTGGTAGATGGTCCCCTCAAAGATAGGAAGAGACACTTGTCCAGCAGAGGTTTATGGGATAGGCATTTCAGCCTGCTGCTGCAGATCTGATCAATTTATAAGGTTAAATCAATTGATAACATATACCATTGATTTTATTCTATCACTAGTGCTATTCAGAGTTTTGTAAACAGGACTGCGCACTAGGGATCGACCGATATTGATTTTTTAGCGCCGATACCGATACCGATATTCTGTGAACTTTCAGGCCGATAGCCGATATAATTTGCCGATATTCTGTACATTTACCATTTTGGAAAATAAAAACAATTTCTAAAGGTAAATGCACAAAATATACATGCCACATGTAGTGGATGCAGTGTGTTTAGACAGGGGAGCTGTGTGTGTTTGTGTAGTGTGTGTGTAGTGGATGCAGCGTGTGTTTGTGTTGAGGATGCAATGTGTGTTTGTGTAGTGGATGCAGTGTGTATTTGTCGAGTGTGTGTAGTGGATGCAGTGTGTATTAGTGTAGTGTGTATATAATGAAAGCAGAGTGTTTGTGTAGTGTGTGGGTAGTGTGCATAAAGTGAATGCTGTATATAGTAAATGCAAAGTGTGTATTTGTGTAGTGTGTGTGTGTATAGTGTTTATAGTGTGAATGTAGTGTGTTTATATAATGCAGAGTGTGTGTGTTTGTATACTGTGTGTATATAATGCAGTGTGTTTGTGTAGTGTGCATTATATAAACACACTACACAAACACACTGCATTATATACACAAACTATGCAAACACACTGCATTCTATACACACACTACACACACACTGCATTATATACACACACTACATTATATACACACACAGCATTATATAAACACACTACACAAACACACTGAATTATCACTACACTACACTGTGTTTGTGTAGTGTGTGTATATAATGCAGTGTTTGTGTGGTGTGTGTGTATATAATACAGTGTGTGTGTAGTGTGTGTATATAATGCAGTGCGTTTGTATAGTGTGTGTTGAGGATGCAGTGTGTATTTGTTTAGTGGATGCAGTGTGTATTTTTCAAGTGTGTGTAGTGGATGCAGTGTGTATTAGTGTAGTGTGTATATAATGAAAGCAGAGTGTTTGTGTAGTGTGTGGGTAGTGTGCATAAAGTGAATGCTGTATATAGTAAATGCAAAGTGTGTATTTGTGTAGTGTGTGTGTGTGTATAGTGAATGTAGTGTGTTTATATAATGCAGAGTGTGTGTGTTTGTATACTGTGTGTATATAATGCAGTGTGTTTGTGTAGTGTGCATTATATAAACACACTACACAAACACACTGCATTATATACACAAACTATGCAAACACACTGCATTATATACACACACTGCATTATATAAACACACTACACAAACACACACAGCATTATATAAACACACCACACAAACACACTGCATTATATACATGTGTTCGTGTGTGTATATAATGCAGTGTTTGTGTGGTGTGTGTGTATATAATACAGTGTGTGTGTAGTGTGTGTATATAATGCAGTGCGTTTGTATAGTGTGTGTATATAATGCAGTGTGTATTTGTGTGCATTGTATACACACACTATACAAACACACTGCATTATATACACACACTACACAAACACACTGCATTATATACAGTGTGTTTGTGTAGTGTGTGTTTGTGTAGTGTGTGTATATAATGCAGTGTGTTTGTATAGTGTGTGTATATAATGCAGTGTGTGTATGTATAGTGTGTGTATATAATGCAGTGTGTGTATTTGTGTGCATTGTATACACACACACCCTATACACACACTGCATTATATACACAGTGTGTTTGTGTAGTGTATGTGTATATAATGGAGTGTGTGTGAGGGGGCATATTTTTATTAAATTATTATTTTTTAGATTAAATTTTTTTTTTTTTTTTTGTCCCCCCTCCCTGCTTGTTGCCTGGCCAGGGAGGGGGGATATGACAGTCCCTGGTGGTCCAGTGGCATTGGCTGAGCTGGGGGGAGGCGAGATCAAGCGCTTACTCACCTCCCAGCAGCTCCTCCAGCTCCCCAGTGCAACTCTCGCGGCCAGCGTGTCGCGCGGAGCGTTGCCATGGTGATCCATGGCAACGCTCTGACGGCCGCGGGTCTCGCGAGAGTTACACTGGGGAGCTGGAGGAGCTGCTGGGAGGTGAGTAAGCGCTTGCTCTCCGCCCCCCCAGGACCGCCGCCTGGCGGTCCCAGGAGGTATTATCGGCAATATCGGTATCTGAATTGGCCGATACCGATATTGCCGAAAATACCGAATATCGGCCGATTATATCGGTAAAACCGATAATCGGTCGATCCCTACTTTCAATGTCTATTTCAAGATCATTTACACATATGTTGAATAGAAGTGGTCTCAGCACAGACCTGAGGGACACCACTTACCACTTTTGAAAATGTATCATTAGTTACAACTCTCTGTACTTTATGTTTAAGCCTATGTTCTACCCAAGTAAAGAATTTTCATCTGCATCAATTTCTTTTCTTTTTTTGACAATCTTTATTTAAGGTTTTGTATTTTATACAGAAATAAGAGACATACAGTAGAGTACCAGAGTAGATGAAAACAAGATACAAGTGTTCTGTTAACTAATACATACATTCAACATTAGGTGTATAATAGAATAGAAATCTGATATCTACTTGTAGAATATACAGTAGTAAGAGGGAGTAAGACCATGTATAGAAAGCTCTGAAAACTGGAAACATATAGGGATTCACCAGAAACCTATAAAAACATCATAAATAGAGTGCTTAGTACCATAAGATAGTAGCAGGTATCCAGGAGCTTATTGAAAGGATGAGTGGTATTAAAGATGATAAAATATTTAGAGATGAATAAATATGATTGAAACATATAGATGGATTCTTGAGTGTCTCGTGTTGAAGATAACTGTATGGCATGGGTGTCCTTAACTCTGGAAAATGGAGCATCCCAGGGTAAATACCACCTCTTGCCAATTATTATACTTCCAAATAGAGTGAAAGATACAATAGCCAAATGTTATAGGTGTGCTTAAAATAACACTGACTATTATCACGCAAGTATAGAAACATAGAATGTGACGGCAGATAAGAACCATTCGGCCCATCTAGTCTGCCCAATTTTTTTATTTTTTTTAATACTTTCATTAGTCCCTGGCCTTATCTTATAGTTAGGATAGCCTTATGCCTATCCCACGCCTGCTTAAACTCCTTTACTGTGTTAACCTCTACCACTTCAGCTGGAAGGCTATTCCATGCATCCACTTCCCTCTCAGTAAAGTAATACTTCCTGATATTATTTTTAAACCTTTGTCCCTCTTGTTGTGGTAGTTTTCCTTCTTTTAAACATAGTCTCCTCCTTTACTGTGTTGATTCCCTTTATGTATTTAAATGTTTCTATCATTTCCCCCTTTCTCGTCTTTCCTCCAAGCTATACATGTTAAGATCCTTCAACCTTTCCTGGTAAGTTTTATGCCGCAATCCATGAACCAGTTTAGTAGCCCTTCTCTGAACCCTCTCTAAGGTATCAATATCCTTCTGAATATACGGTCTCCAGTACTGTGTACAATACTCCAAGTGAGGTCTCACCAGTGTTCTGTACAATGGCATGAGCACTTCCCTCTTTCTACTGCTAATACCTCTCCCTATACAACCAAGCATTCTGCTAGTCTTTCCTGCAGCTCTATTACATTATCTGCCTACCCTTAAGTCATCAGAAATAATCACCCCTAAATCCCTTTCCTCAGATGTTGAGGTTAGGACTATCAAATATTCTGTACTCTGCCCTTGGGTTTTTACGTCCAAGATGCATTATCTTGCACTTATCCACATTAAATGTCAGTTGCCACAATTCTGACCATTTTTCTAGTTTACCTAAATCATTTGTCATTTGGCTTATCCCTCCTGGAACATCAACCCTGTTACATATCTTGGTATCATCAGCAAAAAGACATACCTTACCATCAAGACCTTCTGCAATATCACTAATAAAAATATTAAAGAGAATGGGTCCAAGTACAGATCCCTGAGGTACCCCACTGGTGACAAGTCCAGCTTCGAATATATTCCATTGACTACAACCCTCTGTTTCCTGTCACTCAGCCACTGCCTTACCCATTCAACAATATTGGAATCCAAACTTAAAGATTGCAGTTTATTGATAAGCCTTCTATGTGCAACAGTGTCAAAAGCCTTACTGAAATCTAGGTAAGCAATGTCTACTGCACCACCCTGATCTATAATTTTAGTTACCCAATCAAAAAAATCAATAAGATTAGTTTGGCATGATCTCCCTGAAGTAAACCCATGTTGTCTCTGATCTTGAAATCCATGTGTTTTTAGATGTTCAACAATCCTATCCTTTAACATGGTTTCCATCACTTTACCCACTACTGAAGTAAGGCTTACTGGCCTATAGTTGCCCAACTCCTCCCTATTACCTTTCTTGTGAATGGGCACAACATTTGCTAACTTCCAATCTTCTGGGACTACTCCTGTTAACAATGATTGGTTAAATAAATCTGTTAATGGTTTTGCTAGTACACCACTAAGCTCTTTTAGTAGCTTTGGGTGTATTCCATCAGGTCCCATTGACTTAATTGTCTTTACTTTTGACAGTTGAAATAGAACCTCTTCCTCTGTAAACTCACGTGTAATAAATGACTAATTTATCCTTTTTCTTAACTGAGGTCCCTTTCCTTCATTTTCATCTGTAAATACTGAACAAAAATATTCATTGAGGCAGTCAGCTAGACCTTTATCATCTTCTACATACCTTCCTTCTTTTGTTTTTAATCTAACTAGTATAATACTTGCCAAGATCAAGCAAAACCAGTACCATACACTGGTTGCTGTGTGCAATATAAAAATATCGCTGGAAAACAACCACTTTTCGTTAACATTATGTATATGTTATTATAATAAGAAACAGTGTCTCAAAATAATGACAAGAGATCGATATCTTACGAAAGTTTTTATTGTAAAAAGTTTTTATTATATTAAGTCTTTGATTGTATCAATTTTTTGTAAATATTTGTATTACATTAATTTGTACGGTACCAATTTGTATCAATTTCACTTTCTGTTGACCTTTAACACAAAATCACCAAAGATGTTCTCACTCAATGTGATTTATTTTGCATGAGCATTAATGAGTTAACTAAACAACTGAGGGGTATTTAAACATTCCCATATGGATGTCACCTTACACATTTCTGAGGAAGTAGGGCTGTTCCCTACGAAACGCGTAAGACAGTACACAGCAAGTCTACCGAGTCACAACCAGCCAAGGTATCAGCGTAAAGATCGTATAAATCACCTTGAATCCCAGTAACATCTTCTGACAAGCAGCGCTGTTAACCCGAAGTGAGGCTCGAGGTGGAACGCACTGTGGCACGCATGCCGTCCTCACCGGCGATCAGAATCTGGATGTGAATATCGCAAGTAACATCTACATCCATCTCTGCCTGAGAACAAGGTTATTTTGTATTATGCACCTTTAATAGACTGGTATTGTGTCTGTGGACTCATTTTTAATTCTATTTTTAAATATTTTGGAATAAATTTGACTTTTTATACTCTCAGTTGTTTTCCAGCGATATTTTTATATTGCACACAGCAACCAGTGTATGGTACTGGTTTTGCTTGATCTTAGCAAGTATTATTACTTGCGTGATAATAGTCAGTGTTATTTTAAGCACATCTATAACATTTGGCTATTGTATCTTTCACTCTATTTGGAAGTATAACAATTGGCAAGAGGTGGTATTTACCCTGGGATGCTCAATTTTCCAGAGTTAAGGACACACATGCCATACTGTTATCTTTAACACGAGACACTCAAGATATCCATCTATATTTTTTAATCATATTTATTCACTTCTAAATATTTTATCATCTTTAATACCACTCATCCTTTCAATAAGCTCCTGGATACCTGCTACTATCTTATAATACTAAACACTCTATTTATTCAACATTAGGTAGCTAGGTCGACATCCACAACATATTAGGAGATATCTAGCAACTGTACTAAGTTGACAGCAAGCACAAGTGAGGTGTGGGGAAACATGCCTGTTGTTTCTACCATTGTATGTAAGTCACCTGGACCAGTTATGCCTCTCGTACTCATCGATCAATGGTGATTCAATTGAGACTAGTGTTGGATGAGCTACCGTGTTTCCAACACATGCATATGGATTCATAATTCTAGCAGGAATAAAAAGATTGGGGATGGGTGGATATGAAAGAGTGAAGGAAACAGAGGAGGACAAAGGAGGAGGGAGGAAAAAAAGAGGGAAAAAAAAAAAAAGGTTGGGGGGGGTGGAGAGGTTGGCGGCTGAACCAAGACCCCCCCCGCCCCACCACGGATGGAGGAAGTGCACCCCACACACTCACCTGGGCCAATGAGGTGTGATGTAACCTTCCCATACGTCTTGCCATGGGGCATAGAGTTAGTTCCATTCCATGTGTTCCAAACTATTACTGTCACCAGAGTGCCGCTATGGGTTAGATTTTCATGACAGGAAATATATCCACGGAGTCCATCTCTATGGTGTTCTGTACCACTCTGTCAATAATTTGTAGTTGAGTTCTTGTTGTTTGGAGCACATGGAG